AATTAGGACTTTTAGTGATGCTTCAATTTTGATTCGTTCTTTATGTGTGACCCTATAGGTTATTATTACATTGGTTATGATCTTAAAATTATAATTTAGCATCACAACTAGTGAGCGGCATCTAGCAATGCATTATTACTACCCATGTAATAAGAATGTTAATGATTCGACATAACCTTGTCCATGGCATATGTTATCATGGAGTCTAGTCCTTTTGTCTTAGAAATCTAGATTAAACATGAGGCATGGAATGTGTCATCCTCATATAATTTAATCTTAGCGTTTTTTAATTCATGAGTTGATTGTTCCAAACTAACTAAATTAATAATAACAATAACACAATTAACAATAACAATTAAATTAACAAAAAAATTTAAAATTAAATTAAGTAAATAATTGAAAAAAATTAAAAAATTAATTAAGGTGTTAGATGAGAGAGGACCTTTCACCAACACAAGGAGGAGAGGGGTTGCACCGATGGAGGGGCTTCGTCGACTATTCTAGCGAGAAAAATGGGTGGTTGAGGAAGGGTGGAGAAAGGAAGAAAGAAAAAGGGAGAGGAGGAAGAAAGGGGGAGAAAGGGAAGGTGGAGAGAGAGGAGGAGATTGGAAGGAAAATAAAGGAGAGGGGAAAGATTTGATGAAAATGGAAGGGAAATCGACGCTAGAAACGAAGGAGAAGAAGAGAGGGAAGAAGAAATTTTTTTGGGAAAATTTTCGAGCGGAATGATATTTAGGAGTTGAAAGTTTTAGTGATGGTCTAAAAAACCATCACTAAAACCATTGCTAATTGCCTAAAAAATTTGAAAAATAGTTGTTTCCTTCCACTAGTCCGACTATTAGCTACGATTTAGCGATGGTCCTTAGACCTTCGCTAATTTGGTAATTTGTGATGATTTTTTTTTTTTTTTTTTTTTGTAAAAAATTGTTGCAAAAATGGCTATAGAATTTTTTTTTTAAATGGAATTAGTGATGGTTTTTTTGGAAAAAAATGTCGCAAAAAAAATTTGCTAATTTTCATGATTTGTGATGGTTTTGTTTTTTACAAAAAACAATCACAAAAATGGCTTTAGAATTTTTTTTTAAAAAAAATTGGAATTAGCGATATTTTTTTTTTGGGAAAAACCGTCGCTAATTTTCATGATTTGCGATGGCTTTTTTTTTTTTTTTTTTTTTACAAAAACCATTATAAAATTGGAATTAGCGACGATTTGTTTTGAAAAAACCATCGCAAAACCATCGCTAATTTTCATGATCTGCGATAGTTTTTTTACAAAAACTATAACAAAAATGGTTTTATATATTTTTTTAAAAAAAGTTGGAATTAGCGACTGATTTTTTTTTTTTTGAAAAAAGCCATTGCAAAAAACCGTCGCTAATTTGCATGATTTTTTAAGACTAATTTAATGATTGTTGTAGAGACCCTCGCTAAAGTGGTTCAAACCATTGCAATTTTAGTAAATTAGTGATGGTTTTGAGATGGTTGCTAATTTCTTCTCGCAAATCCCCCGTTTTTTTTTTTTTTAGTGTTTCCATCTTTAGCATTTTTTTTTTTAATTAAGTTGCTATTCAACAAAATATGAAATCATATGATGTTATTTGTAGTATATATATATTTTTAAAATCGAGACTAATTAAGAATTCAATCAAATATGCATTGAGAATATGGAAAAAAAAGAAATCGTATATACAACTTTTTTCTTTGATTTTTATGCAAGCCGTTTTCTTTCCAACTCAATTTCAATGGAAAGGGTTATATAAGATTGGTTTGGTATAAATAAGAAGAGTAATTACCATAAAATAGTGAATAGATTTGTAGACAAGTTTGAGAGTTGGATATAAACGACTTACAGTTTGAAGTTTTGTGTAATCATATTGGACATAGTTAATACTACACTTTCCCATTTAGATATACTACAAACAACCCAAATAATGATAATTACATCTGTGACAACATACAACGGCGGACATAAAATTGATATGATAAGGTAAAGAATATTGATATATGATTAAACTAAATTGACAAACAATCATATAATCAATCAAAATCAAAATCAAAATAAGCTGAGGACAATACGAATGATATAAAGATCAGGAAAGTGTAGTCGTCTTCGTTTGTCATGATTAAAACCACATATGTAAGGTCCAAATTGTGAAATAAATAATAATAAATAAATGGGGAGATTGAGGAGCATTTGCCCTTTTCTTTTCTTTTGTTTTTACTGCGATAAACGTGTATGGGTCCGTCTCCTTAGGAATGTTGATTTTGTCGTCTTGTGGGGGTGGGGAGACAATCTGCCTACAAGTATGTTGATATTGCAGGCATGGCGAAGACAAACCAAAATCAAATGAAAAGAGTCTCCAATACTATTACAAATTAAAAAATCATAATAAAGTAAACACTAAGATACTATTAATCAGGAAAACTGTACTTTAGATTACAGTACTCATACGAAAGGCTATCCATTCCTGGCTGCTCTTCTCAAGCAAGCACAGTACTGTTGCCTCTTGGTTAGAACATATATGGGAAGGAGTACTATAAGATATTTATATCAAATCTCTCCCACATTATATTATTATTAATAATATCAAATGATAATCGCAGTGAACGAACGTGGCCCTTGTAACACGTTAATCTAGGTTAAACATCGTGACAAGGAAGAATAAACAGTCTGTAATATAACTACCATTAATGTGCTAATTACCAATTAGTTGCGTCTAGTGTCTAGTGTCCAAGTGTCTAAGTGTCTAGAGAGAGAGATAGCGCTAAAAATGAAATGAAATGAATATAATATTAGGCCTCATAAGTTAATTATAGATGTGATCACATGCTTCAGGGCATGCTTTGATTCCTTTAACAAAAGCAGAAAAATCACACACCAAAACAGAAGAGAGGACTGGACTGGGGAGATCCCCCCAACCACATGCTTCCTGGGGACCATCAACCCGGCCCCTTAATTAGAGTTACCCTCAAGAGTATGAGAAGATCCCAAAAAGCAATACAAAAAGGAAGCTTGTTGCTCTCAAATCTTACTTCTCACTAAAATACAAGTAAAAACTCCAGAGCCCCATAAAGGAGAAAGCATTTAAAAGTTCATCTGCATGCTGGATCACAGTTGCCTTTGTTTTAAAACAACATTTCATGCCTTGAGTGCTGCAATTGTCCTTTGCTTTAGATCTTGTAGTAACACTATATATATATATATATATATATATATCATTAAATTGTAATTAGTGATTGTGCACACATATTTGATTTGCCGGATTTCGTTTGTCCTCCATCCCCATAGCAAATAGCACGATGATTAATTAAATGCAGCAAGTAGAAAATTATTTTTCAGAGCTGCATTTAAAATTGTTACATTATCCCAGAAAAAAAAATATTATGAACACTTGTTCAAACATTCTTTATTAAATAGGGCTAATGAGTTTTCCTAGAATTAATATATGAAATCGCATTTACGGAACATTAATGCCCTTAAAATCATACACATATATATGTGGGAGCATATAGGAAATTTATTTATTACTATTATATGTAAGAACTTATCACCTAATTCTTGGCCTGCAGGAAAATCATGGATCCATAGATGTCGGTAATAGAATTGAGCGCGCATCAAAGAGCTTAAAATTATAATTAAACTTGGACATGAAGAAACCTAAAAGCCCAGCAGCTTCTACGGGGTTTCACAAATCTTAACTGGTCACCATTAACCAAATACTAGCACTTAAATTATTTGACATCAAATTAAGAGCTAGCTAGCTACCTACACATCGAAGAAATTCTATTGTAGTTTAATGAATTATGTCCTCAACAATGCATGCATTGGTAAGTGGATTGTTATGAAAATTTCCAATAATATGGTCGGCTCCCTTAATTTGATTTGTTTTACATACCTAATTCCAATGCAAATAATTAAAGATAACCTAGGTCATTTGAATCCCTCGAGCAACAAAATGCTAATGTAATATTTCCTGATCAGTTCATTACATTAACGAAAGCAAATTAAAAAAATCAGTCTTTTTTTTTTTTTCCTTTGCTTGATGCACTTGATTAACTATTTTGTGTTTACTTGAGACGAATTAATTTACCAAGAAGGATAAATTGTTAATAATAATAATTACCTTCCATCTCAAAATATCGTGACACTGATTTTTCACATATATCAATATATTATTAATTGGTATATCATGTTATTATTTTTTATTTATATTTTTAATTGTACATAGATTTCTTACCAATGAGATTTAATTACGAGTATTATAATAAAATTCATGACTTAAATGTTGTGATTAAGATTTAAGAATTATTTTCGAAAAAATAGAAAATAGAACAATCTTTTTAAGCAGCCCCTCTCTCTCTAGAGAGAGAAAGGGGAAAAAAAAAGTCTCGTTGCATTGATTCTGTAGTAGAAGAAAGTGAATTATAACATTGGTGTATTGTATATTTTAATGGAAGCTAATGATAATTAGGTAAAGAATACTATTTGTGTTGATTCTAATAATATTAGACGAATATTTATATATATATAAAGAGAGAGAGAGAGGGGTCATGATCAATTATAATAAACGACAGATTAAGCTTATAAAACAAAACTCTTAGAGATTTTGAAAATATACATTACATACATGAGAGAGAGAGAGAGAGTAACAGATAGGAGGAGGAAAAAAGAAAAAAAAAAAAAGAGAGAGAGAGAATAGAGAGCTACCTAGTTGTTAAACATTTATCAAGTCCTAGTGACTGATTGAAACTCAAATCCCATGGTGAACATATGGGTGAAGAACATGGATTTACATGCCAGGGTAAAATGTATTTGGTAAAAAAGCCATGGGCATAGTGGGTTAGTGTATTAACTTGAAAGGAGGGAAGGGGTGGGTGCATAGGTAAATCCATTAAATATTACTGACTACTTAATATTGCTGGTATCTCGGTCACTCGACTTACTAAAGTTTTTAATTGCACACTCACACAGAAGGATAGGATAGGTTTACGAGTCTTGATCATGGATTGGGCAGACGTTGAAACATGATGGGTGCACCATATTGGGGGTAAAGTAGCATCAGAACCGTTGGTGCATGTTGATAGCTAGTGGCCAATCTAAAAGAGAATCGTTGCAGTATAATAGCAAGCGTTAATTTGGCCTGCAAGATGGCTAGATTTTGGCCAATGCAGGTACGTACTCCTAGCCCGAATGGAATGAAGGCCACATGATGCTTCGCCGCGCGGGCCACCCCATCAAAGAAGCGAGCAGGATTGAATTCATTTGCATCATTGCCCCATATGGATTGATCATGATGAAGGGCCAAGATGGGTATCAAAAGCTCCGTTCCACGCGGAATTTTGTAGCCGCCCAGCTCTACATCAACTTTGGACCGTCTGATTGTGGCGATTGTTGGTGGGTACAACCGTAAGGATTCATTTAGAATCATGGTCAGCTGCACACCACAACCAAAATTTAGTATTTAATTTGAATTCACGAAATTGCCTCTACTCATTTATTGGTTCTTCAGTTCAGAAATCTGATAAGTGTATCTTATATATGATAAAGAAGATGAGAGCTTAAAAGAAAAAAAAATGCAGTAAAGCAAAAGGAAGGGGTTTTCTTTTACTTCGTTTCTTTTCTTTAGGGAAACAAACATGCCAAGAGCAAAGAGACAAAACATGAGTTTTGTCATGGTCTTTTGAGGAGGGCTTTACCGTCTTAAGCTTTACAACATCATCTTTGGTGGGTATGTCACGTGATCCACACACCCTCAAAACCTCCTCACGTGCCTGATCCTGCCATTGTGGGTGCATTGCAAGTAGGACCGTTGTCCAAGTCAGCAAATTGGATGTGGTCTGTTTCCCGGCAAAGAAAAAGCTCTTGCATTCTTCAACTATGTCAAGTACGGTTACGTCTGTAGATGTATTTGAGGCTTGAATCATTAGCCCTAGCAAATCCTTAGGACCATTATCTTGATGATTATCACGCATCTTGTTAATGCTCGAATTCCCTTTTCTCCTTTCGATAAGCTTCTTAAGTGATTTCTTGATTTCTTTGTCCAATTTCCACGAATTCATGTTTCTTTTTGTTGGGAAGAACCTGAAAAACACGAAATTAATTAATTAATTAATTGTTTTAAAGTGTTGATAAAAATTTAGGAAGATTGGCGGATAAGAAAATTGAAAATTTTCATATGTTAATTAATTACCTATAACCAGGGATTAGAACTCTTTGGAATGCCACGGCAGCGAGGACCATTTGTTTTGCTTGTAATCGAAAAATGGCCTTTCCGTCTTCGTAGCTGCTACCAAATGCTGTTCGCGTAATGACATCTTCTGTTAAGGTTTGGAACCATTCAGAAACTTCAATTTCTACCTCCTCCGAATTTGACATTGCCGACCATTGCACCAACATATCCATTACACTCTTTGCCACCACAGGTACAAGCAACTACATATAGAAAAATAAATAAATAAATAAATGTATAAAAATTTCACTACACTCTTATTTAATTTTTTTTCTTTTTTTTCCCCAAGCTAATTAATTAATACAAAAAATAATTATTTTCATCCAAGTAATTTTAGAATTTTGGACTTACTTTGAGATTCTCCATGTGGAATGTGGGTGTTATAATTTTCCTATGGTGAGCCCATTTTTCTCCTTTGAGGCTAAGTAGTCCATCACCTTCAAGCTGTTTAACAAGTGGGTGAGCCTCAACCTTTTCGTAAAATTCAGACTTGGAAGTAAAGATTTCTCGTATGAGGTCTGGATCCGAGACGGTGAGTCGAACCGTGGGTCCGAACCACACTAGAAATGTTGCACCTGCAAGAAATATATACCAGAATATATCAATTCAAATTGTGTTGATCATCATATAAGTAGCAACAATGTGAAGGAAAAAATAATTAAGTAGCTAGTGTCAAATTTGAAAAAATAAAAATAAAAATAAAAAAAAGTATGAGAAGGAAACATGACAACCATTAATTCAGAGAGCATGGATAGTGTAGACCCTACAAGAAAGAGAGCAAATACAAAAGAAATGAAGCAAGAAGACAACTGAAACTATTCTGCTGCTAACACCTACAGCTTCATTAACAGGAAACAAGCTCCCAATAAAACAAAACAAGTGGAGGACATTGAATCGCAAATTTTGGTCCGAAACAAAGAATGCTAAAACTTTATCATTTTTTTTTTTCCTGATCTTTGGACAGCCAGCAAAATTAATCTTTTGGAGAAAAAGAAATACGGACAAAAGAAGTTAACTGCCATATTAGGAAAGTCATAAACAAAAGCAAAATAATTTTAATTAAAACTGACAATCTGGTTTAAAACTCTCTAATAACTCTAGAAAGAGGAAGGTGAGAGAGGGGGGGGGGAAGAAAGGACAAACAAGAAGTGCAACAGTCCAAAACTCAGAACTTCAGCATCAAGCATCCAAGCACAGAAAAGGCTGAAAAGTTGTTAAAAGAAGTACCTGAGGTCATTTAAAAAAAAAAAAAAAAACTTTTAAGAGTCACAAATTTTGGAAGATGGATCACAAGCCAAGCTAAAAAACACATGATAACAGAAACACTCACCACCCACAGCTTTAGTGATATTTTCAAGGCAAACTCTAATGACTATGTGGTTTGTCAAAGAGAAGGTTGAAAAACCACATTTATTACTTACTACATATTCATTGGTTGGTTCCAAAACAAGTGTACATTAGTGATCACCGAGCACAATCACAAGAAGTGGAAAAACTTTTGTTTCATCAAGTACAGAAAAGATCGAAGAGGAAAAGTTGATAAAAGAAAAATCAAAACAAGTCATTTTAAAATATTGAAGGAAAAATAAAGGAAGGAATTTACTGTACCGTAGATTTTCTTCCAATGGTGATAAAAAGAGAGAACTCTAGGAAGTATGTTATGAGAGAAAGGCATAGGCTGAGAAGAGGCCAGTAACATCATTTCCACGACCTCCTTCACATTGCCAATGAAGAAACGATAAGGAGGTCCTCTGATTCCTTGCTTGGAAAAATGGTGTTCAATTCTTCGGGGTCTCCACCAAAGTAATACTGCAACCTTTATCAACAAAACTAATGCCAAGAAAGAGATGGCAAGCAGCTTAATAAGCCAGTAATAATACAACAACAGCTCCTCCATGTTACAACTTGAACAGATAGAGAGGGAGCGCTTTCTTTTCAGAAGACCTTAGCACACAGTCTCTTCTCTTCTCAAATTCTTAAGAGTGGAGCGACCTTTTCTGTTTTCGCTTCTTATCTTCTCTTCTCTTTCTCTCTCTTTCTCTCTGTTTTTATTTTTATTTTTATTTTTTCTTTTTCGCTTATGTTGGTTGGTTTTCTACTTGTTAGCTAGTGTGTGCTGGCTTTTCCATACTACAATTATTTATTATTATTGTTATTATTATTATTATTATTATTTTGGTGAGAGAGAGAGAGACAGGCTTATAAGCAAGGCCAACGGCGTAGGGGCCGCCATTGGCATTCTAAGGGTCAACGAATACTGAGGTGTTTTTTTATTTTTTTCATTCTACCACAAAAGGTGTCGTTGAGCCTTCTCTAACGTGGATTTTGTAGATTTAAAAAAGTTTAATAGATTCTAGTAAGTATTGGTTTTAAAGTTTAAAATTTAAGAAGTAAAAAATTAACCACCAAATTTTCCATAAAAAATTAAGTATAATGTTCATCTTAGTTCCAAATATACAATTCCATTATTAATTTAGTTATAAGTCTCTTGATTATCAATTTTATCCTAAATATCAACCATATCTTAAAACATTAAATCCTAAATATCAACCATATCTTAAAACGTCAAATGAAAATAATTAGAAAGTCATTGATGACTTCATCTACATAAATGAAAAACCACAAACGACTTTGATTCAATTCAATACAAACAAATATGACAATAATTAGGAAGCTATTGACGACTTTATCCATACAAATATAAAGTTGTCGACGACTTTGGTTCACATAATTGGAAAGCTATTGACTACTTTGTTTACATAAATAAGAAGCTACTAATGACTTTAATTCCATTCAACATAAACAAACATGACAATAATTAAAAAGCCACCAACGATTTCATCCACACAAAATGAAAAGCCACTAACGACCTTAGTTCACACAATTAAGAAGCCATCGTCGATTTCGTCCACACAAATAGGAAGCCTTTGACGTTTTCAATTCAAAAATTGGAAAGCCACCGACGACTTTATCTATATGATTGGAAAGCCACCAACAACTTTGATTTAATTCAACACAAATAACCATGGTCCGAACATTACATTTAAGTCAAATCTCATCATAAAAGCAACATCATCCTTAAATACGCACATTAGAACCGAGTACTCATCTCGGGCAAACCATTGAAATTAAAGCACATGCCTTTCCCTTAGAGATTCATTGCGGAGCATTAAACACCATCTTATTTCACTTTAAGGGTACGCGGGGTATAGTATCAATAACCTAAATCCCTCCTAGAAATGCAAATGAATTGTATGGATATTTTGTAAATTAATAAAAATGTGTTTTTACTTGAATGATTGAGTAACATTAAAGGTTTAAGTCCTTAATTGAAATAAGTAAGAAACCTTAGGGACTTGAATAACATTAGGATTGACCTAGATGAGGGCTAAGTTGATGAAAAATGTAAAGTTATGGACTGAAATTGTTGGTCAATTGCAAGGATTGAAAGTTGGATGAGTAAGGTGTTAAGTGCTAATTAAGCGAGGGACCCCTAGTTGAATTAATGGGACAAAATTGGTTGAAAATCTAGAAATCCAGATTTTTAAAGAAAGGGAATATGAGGAGAGAGAAGGAAGAAAGAAAAGAGGGAGAAAAAAAAGAAAGAAAAAAACCCTAAATTGGAAGGGGAAAACTACACCCATCCAAATCCAACACTCTAAATCACTATAATCCACCTAGAAACATCTTAAATTAGCCTCCAAACCATCCTAGAAGATCAAGCAAGTAGAAAGAAAGAATTTCTTATTTGGCCAAAATTTTGGCAAGGAAGAGGAGGGAAGAAGCCAAGGGGAGAAAGGAAGAGAATCAACCCAATTCTAAGTGAGGTAAGTATAATTCCTCACCTACACCATAGGAATTTATGTATTGAAGGATAATTAGTGTTAATTTAGGGTTTGTTCAATGAAAGGTTAACTAATATGTTATTGAGGGTTATGTGAAAATGATTGAATTGTAATGGTATGATAATGATTGTATGTTGAGAATGATAATGTTTAAGTGATGGAATGATGTGAATTTTCAAGTTTGAAATATGTCATTGTTCTAAGAACAAGATGGATGAACAATCCATGAACATGTGTAAATTGATAGTTATTTTACTCAATGTCTACTATGTGTTAGATGAAATGTCTTAGAGACATTCTAAAGGCTAGAATGAAAGGATGAAAGTTGTCCTTCACTTAACCTAAATTCGACTAAGTATGGAAAACAAGGTCAAAGAGACAAATGTTACATGTGAGTTTTAAAGGTATGAATGACATGAATATGATCATGTACATGTAAAAGATGAATGTTTATGATGCTCATGATGATTGGGTATTTTATGATGCTTTTCATGTTATGGATTGTCCATGTTATGTTTCATACTATATGCATACTTAATTATTTGAAACATGTGAATGAATTATAATGTTTATACATGTTCTTGAGAATGTAATGATATACATGTCGAGGTTATGTTTATTGCAATGCATTTCATTCAAATGCATATGCTCATGCACATCATTATTATGAAAGAGGAATTTTATTCATGATTTTAATGAAAGGAAAAAGGAAAAGGTTTTCATGAAAGGAAAAAGGAAAAAAGGTTTTCATGATTTTCATGGTTTTTCATGAAAATGCCATTTCTTCATCAAAGGGATTTGGTAAAGGCCTCGATAGTTGGAGGATTTAATGAAGACCCTAATTGAAGAAATTAGCCCATTTCTTCGTCGAGGGATTCGGTAAGGGCCTTAATAGTTGGAGGTTTGGTGAAGGCCCCAATTGAAGAATGTGGTAACGATATTTTTTTAGTGAGAGATTTGATAAAGGCTCTATGGTTGGAGGATTTGGTGAAGGCTCTAATCGAAGAAATGATAAAGGAAAGGGTACACCCGAAAAGGAAAAGGAAAAGGAAAATGGTTTCAAAGGCATGAAAAGGATTTTTATGCATCATGTGCATTCATGCATAAAGGGCATCACATTCATTGCATGAATTATGCTTAATAAGAATCCTTTTGCTTATTATTGTTTTCTTATGGTGTAAGAATTGATAAAGATAAATGAAGGGTCACCGCCGAGACAAGTGATAGACTTGCCATTTTGTGTGCTTTTGTTTGGGTTAGTGAGTATGAGGAATCTTGTATAACTTAGCTTGATTTATGATGCATAACAAGTTAGGTAATTTTTGGTATGTATATAAGTTAATTAAAAAATATTTTTTTTGGTATAAATGAAAATATTAATTGGAGGTTAAGTCATTAGTATGTCAATTTTGATTAGTGGTAGATTATAGATGCTTAAATGACTAATGTAGCTAGAATGAGAAAATTTGTAAGGTCAAGAAAATGATTGCAATTTAAAATCAAAAGTAAGAAATTAGGTAGGAATGTTAAGGGCAAGACTAAAAGAAAATGAAATTGCTAAATTATTGGAGAAGGTTTATAAAAAATTAGTATGGCTTAACTTAATCTAAGAGAAACAAAATATTTTATACTCAAATTATGTATAAGTGGACCTAGTATCACATACTCATTAGAGACCTTATGAATGATAAATGCTCGCTTTCGCTAATGCATTAGATAGTATAAGGGAGGGGGCTTCTTAGCTTGCATTCATTACATGTTGAATGTAGGTTAATGCTCGTAATACCCTCGACCTATCTAGGTCCTAGGATGGAGGTGTTATATAGTCAAAGCAAAAGTTTTACCCAAGTTATTTAAGTCAAGATGACCAATTAAGCACACCTAAGTCCCATCTTGACGGCAAGTAAGATACAAATCTAAGTGATGCATGATAGGTATATGTTTGCATTGAATGCTATGGAAAATAGAATGTGATGAATTGTATGAAATGTTATGGGAAGTAAATGAAAAAGAACTATGAAATGGAAAAAGGTGGAATTATCACCTTACATGGAAGAGGATATGTGATATATTTTTCCAAGCCATGTATTTATCTTTTCTCATAAATTGTAGATTGCATTGAAGTGTGTATGTATATGTACATGGTCGTGAGTTTCATTATTTCTTTAAGTAATATATTATAATTAATACACATTTAGCGTAAGTTAGAATAAAGGTATAAAGATTGGGTTTGAATCACACACATTATAGTGTGATATTTCATTTCAAATAATAACAACGGAGATTGCATACTCGTATGTTTATTTCTTTGTCTTTTGAATGGACGAGTTAACAATAAAAATATACACTGGTCATGCACCATTTATTTTCTTAAATTGAATCACATTTTGCCTTGCATGATATATATATATATATATTGCATGACCGTGTTTCCATTTCCTTAGTTTTGAAAAAGTTCTCGAAAAGACAAATATATATATATTTTTTGAGTTTAGCATCCAATTTTCGCTCCCATAAAGTTTGCAATGCCTTAGTCGGGATCTCTCGCATGTTTATCATGACTTTTAGAATATATAAAGACGCCATCAATAAAGACTATGAAGAAATCATCCAAGTATTCATGGGATAGTCAACTCTTAAAGTCCATAAATATGACTAGTGTATTAGTTAACCCGAATGAAATTACTAAAAATTCATAATGACCATATCATATTCTAAAGGCTATTTTCTTAATATTAACTTCCTTAATTCTTAACTAATGATATCTTAATTATAAATCAATCTTAAAGAACACCAAAATTCCTCTCAATTGGTTAAATAAATCATCAATCAAGGGAAGTGGATATTAGTTCTTAATGGTCACTTGATTTTGGTCTCAATAATCAATGCATAGTTGTAATGACCCATCCTTTTTCGTTACAAACAATGTTGGTGCTCTATATGGTGAATAGCTAGGCTGAATATATCTTTTATTTAGTAGTTTTGGTAATTGAGTCTTTAACTCTTTTATTTTTGCTGGAGCCATTCTATATGGCGCCTTAGATATTAGAGT